GTATATGTGGATTTTCTGCGTGAGGGCGCCCTCAGGCATCCAGTGGGAATGAAACGCACATTACATGTGTTCATAGCACTAAATAATGGCCAATCGATAAAAATAATACTTCTTTTTTTTTTAAAATGGCATTTAAAAATAGCAAAAGAGAACTAAACCAAAAAAACTGAAGTATTTATTGAACCGTGGGCTAACTGTATTGTTGCAGCCCTACTTTTTACTCTAAAATACTGTATAACAGGAATATCACAAGCTTGAGTGCAGACCATGATTATTTAACATTAAATCTTGCAAATTCACTTAAACTTACAAATGTTCTGGGTTTGTGCCAGCTCTGTTTCACATTAGTGAAACGAAACTATTAAAACAGAAGATCTAAAAAGGTTAAACAGAAAACAAAACGTATAAGTGTATGAACCGTCACAAATAACGAAGCTAGCTATCTTGTTAGCTCGAGAATACTTACCCTCAAAGTTGTCGACATAACTTGAAACATCCGATTTAAAGCCCTTCTCCTTACTAAATGTGTAAGAGATGCCACTTCGATTGACAGCGTTGACAGTAATCAGTGGAAGATCTTGCAAGCAGCGACTCTAAAATCCATGCTGATAGCGCTCGTTGAAACAGTAAGCAAAAATGTGAGTCGAGCAACAGTGCGTAGACGTTGATTGCACATAGAAGTGCAGATTCAGAGAGAAAAAGTGAAATAATAACATTGTCATAGAATTGGTTTAAATAATTAGATTTTGTTAAATGCCCGACATAGTTTAAAAGAATTCGGGTCTTCTCGGGTCCATTATGAATAAGAACATTTATTTTAAATTACCCAAAACCCGAGGCCACTAATATCGAACCTGACCCGTGTCCGAGGCACTCGTCAAAGTTTTGTTCCCGAACCCGCTCGGGTCTTGGGTCGGGCCTCGGGTTCAGCGTATTTTACAAAAGCACAACGTTTTGTTGATATTGTGAGTGCACGCAAATAAAAGTAGACCCTTTACAGTTACAAGTGATGTATTACTCTTATGAGCAAAAATGACAGCATATTTTAAATTGTTTGTTCCACTGAAAAAAAAAATGCAAGTGATCGCGCTGGCGCCTCCATGTCCTGCAAAGTGTGCTTCAGCTTCCACTCTCCGCACCAACGATTGGATATGCGCCTAATAGCGCACATTTATCTAGGTTTAACTTTTAAACTAACATTGTTATATGCTTGAAGTGTTTTATATCTATAGATTTTATTTTAGGCAAGTCGTGATATTTGAGAAGGCTAAATTGATCAAACATAGGCTATGATCAACTCACCGTCTGCTGCTGGCCGCTTGGTTGTTACTTTAAAAAAACAAAAACCTAGGCTATATTTAACGAACAAAAAATTATCAAAACGTTTTTCTAAATTAACTTAATAAAAAAAAACTAAATGAAATATAATCCCTTTGCCATTACATACAAAACTGTACATATATAGTAGTACAAGCTGTTTTGGGAGAAGGGGAAAAAAACTAAACTTTTTTTTTTAATTTTTAAATTTAAGTTACTTAAATAAAAACAACATTTTGTTATTGCAATGCTAAATTTGTCGCAATTTTGCACTTTGACTTTTGACAGTCTTGAGATTTTTGAATATCGTGTGTAATAAAACAATGGTCTTTGACAAAATAATTGTATAGCATTGTTGTTTTAAATATCAACTATTCCTTATAAATGCTTATTTAGATACTTGAAGTATACGTTGTTGTGAAAAACAAAGTACTTTTAATGTCACTAGCTACTTTTTGGTAGTATCTTGTAGTGTAGCTTGCTACTTTGTCAGAAGGGTAGCTTGACTGTAGCTTAATTACTTTCATTTATATGTCTACTCCACGTGGGCCAGATGTGGGCCGGATCTGGGCCATATTGCTGTCTGGGTTGAAGCTGATCAAGTTACAGTTTTAGAATAGCTTCCCCAACACTGTATACTTTATGTGCATGCTTCAGGGATGTGATTCTTCCGGATGAATCCGCAATTCCGTGAATCAAGCAGGGCTGCATTTCCCAAAAGCATTGTAAGCTTAAAGCGTAGACCCATTGAAACCAATGGAGCTACGATCAACTTAGGCTTACGATGTTTTTGGGAAGCAGCCCCGATCAGTAATAAAAAAAGGTTCAGAGTGATGCTGGTTATTGTGCGATGAATGAAATCGCGAAATGCAATTATAACTTAAATAAATTGCGGAAAAAGTTGAATGTTTTTAATACGTCATGGATGGAATGGTCCTGAGAGTGCTGTAAGAGCTTGCGGCGCCACCTGCAGGACAGGGTGCACATGGTTCAAAGCACCAAATGTGAGTAAAATCAGCGCTGAAGCCTCACTGGTAACTTTTTTTATGAATGCTGGTGAGAATGTGAGATTGCTTAGTACTATCATAAAATTTGCAACGGTTGTGATATATCATACTAATATACTAATATATAATACATTATTATTTATTATATAAATATGTCTGCTGTACTGTGTTTTCAGTTTCAATTCACTGTAAATGCTAGCTGCACTGCTGAGTTGATATTTAGGGAATGCAACAGTCATGATTAGAATCGTTTAGAAATGTGCCGTTTACAAAAAGAGAAGTTTCAGTGTCACATGAACCTCCAGAAATCATTCTAATACGCTCATTTGCTGCTCAAGAAACATTTGCTATTTATTATGATCAATGTTAAAAATGTTTTTTGCTGCTTAACGTTTTTGTGGAAACGATGATACCACTCAAACATTTGTGGTAAGGTTTACATTTTTTTAAATTTACATTAAAGTTATGAAAAGTGAGTGAAGAGTGAACACATTTAGAATGTTACGAAATATTTCTATTTAATAAATGTATTACATATGTTTGATAAGTGCTGTTCATTGAACTTTCTTTTTATCAAAGAATCCCGAAAAATAAAATGTATTTCCACACAAAATATGCAGCAGCACAACGGTTTTCAACATCGATAATAATCAGAAATGTTTCTTGAGCATCGAAAACAATATTGATATCATTAATTGTTTCCAATTTTTTTGGCATGTACTTTAATAATAACAATTTTATTATTATTA